GCAGGTCCACTTTTTGAAATTAACCCCATAACGCTTCTTCGGTCATTTTTGTTTGTTTAAATGTGTTCGCATCTTCCAGCTGAAGCACGATGTAGGTCCTGGAGTAGAAAGCATTTAACATCGTATTGCGCCCTCATTTCATTTTTAATATTATTCAGAAAAGAAAAAGAATCTTCAACTGGTTCGCTGATTTTTTTGCGGCAAATTTTAAAGGTCCTTACGAAGTTAGTCGGTAGAATATACTATATTTTGAAATTCGATTCCATTGAAAAATTGTCGATTTTTCCCGATTTTAGAATTTTCATATAAAGCGACAACGGATAAAATTGTTATTTATAGATTTTATGTATTTATTAGGTATTTCGAATAAATACATAAAATCCATAAATAACAGTTTTATCCGTTGTGGCTTTATACTACCCAAAAAAAACCTACACATCATTTTAGAATTCAAAAAAAAAAAACCAAAAAAAAACAATACAAATGTACATTCGAAAATAGTAAATCAAAATAGAAAAAAAGGCAATATAAAACATTACTATTGTACATTTTAAAAGTCAAAATGAAAATGTTCAAATTTCACATTTTTACGCGATTTTTTTGGATTTTATTCTTTTCTGCCAAGAGGCAATTCCAAATTTGTCTGAATCGTTAAAATCACACCGGCGGTCTTTATATTATAAGAGTAGTAACTAACACAACTTTCTTTTACATATAGAGAGATACATTTAAAAGTAGGCGCGTTTCTCAGCCCCTAAATAAGTACTTAGGGTTGGATGGAAAGCCAACAGCATCTCGTGTAATAATTCTCAAACCGATATCTTCACTATTTTGGCAAATATAAAGATTTTAGATAAATCGTAATAGTGGGCGTAAAAGTAGTCGTGGTCAAAATTTTTTTCTTTAAAAACCTAACACGGGGTATGACGATTGTTTGTAAAAAAATTATTCAAATCGGCCCACCCGTTCTCAACTGATTGCATTACCAACGAACAACAATTGATTTATATATATAGATTCTTAATTCAGCATATATTGTTTAGTGCTGTTTTTCGACATATAACAAATATATTTTGTTGTCATTTTTAGTTCAAATCTATAAGTTAAGCTGACAATTGGATGAATCTGTTTGTCTGTTCATATTTTAAAATGTATTTTATCTTTCACACATTGTTTTACAAAAATGATTAAAACAAGTAATTAATACTAATACCATTTTGATATTAAATTAATAACGACGAAATATCGACGCTAACTTCCCGTTGATCCGTTTTATTTTTGTCCTGGGAAATTTTGATCTTTTCAAGAGCTTGTTTGTGCATAATTGAACGAAAATGAACCACTAAATGGGTCCTTCTACCGAATGCTTTGTCGCACACATCACACCTGCAAATGGAGATAAAAGAGATCGGAATGGAACGGGAGATTGCAAACTGCAAACTTGAAAGTTGTACAAACCTAAAATGCCTTTCGCCTGTATGAGTTAGCATATGATTTTTAGAATATAGGTACTGGTGAAGGATTTGCCACACTGTGAACATGTAAAGGGCCTTTCGTTTGTATGTGTCCTTTGATGTTTGATTCTTGTGCTGTAGTCGGTAAATTTTCGATCGCAAAACTGACAAGCGAACGGTCTCTCGCCAGTGTGTTTCCTCATGTGCCTTCTCAATTCGGAGTTGGTGAAAAATTTGTCAGGACACAACCTATAAAAAGGTCCATGTTATATCTTATGAATAAGTAACGAATAATATCACCAATTACTCGCAGGCACATTGTCTGTCGCCAGCATGTCTACGCAAATGGAGTTTAAAATAGTGACTGCAAGTGAAATAGTTACCACATTGGTCACATATAAAACGATTGGGATTGTCTGCTTTTTCCTTTTTACGCTTTTTCGCTACTATGGGATATTCCTCTTTAGATTCTTCCTCTCCCCGTCGCGATAGAGTGGTTGCAATTTTATTTCTTTTTTGAAATTTATTTTTTTTACGCTTTGGCGAAGTCGATTTCGAATTCTCCTCGAGCGTACTAATAACATTATTTAGCTGTAATGTATCGGAGCGGAAGGTCATTTCATCGCCTGACTGTGTATTGTTGGATAAATTTAAATCAACTGTGCTATCACTGGTAGACCACCTATCGTCTAAATTGGAATTTTCTTCTTCATTTGGGTTTATTTCTAATGTGTCTTTTTGATGTGTTACACAGAAGCCGCTTTCTTTCCTGTGTACATTTCCGTCTTGGCTTTCAATACTAATTTCCTTCTCTTCTATTATATCAGTCTCTGATTTAACTGGGTCCTCCTCCTCTTTTACACAAACGTGAAAGAACTCTGTTGTTACTAAATTTTTGCATTCTCCGACTGTTCTCTCGTCCTTTATTTGGTCAGATAGTAAAGCCTGTGCCCTTATGACATTTTCTCGAAATTGATATGCTTGTCGCAAATTTTGATGGCATGTCGAACACATTAACTTCGGAAGACCACTGTTTTCCAACTGCAAGAAAAAATATATGTTGCGAACAAAACTTTAGCATTAGCATAACTTCACATTTGCATTGAATGTACCAAAAGCCCCGTTATATCCTCAATTTGAGCAAGAAGCTCTTTGTGTCTACGATCAAAGAGTTTTAAAGCCTTCCCATTAATTTGCTCTTTTGCACATGTTCGACAAATATGTTCCATTGCTTATAAATCGGTTTATATGCAATGGAAATAATGTTAAAATATTTGTTTGTCTTCTATAAATGAATAAATGAGTATAAAGTGGTCATTGGTAGTCGGATATCTGCATTCAAATGGATCAGCTGTTTGACAAGTATCGAGTAATCGAATCAAAATTGACTGACTTCACGATTAGTCGGATAGCAGAAAATTCAAATAGCTAAAGGCAAATAAACTTATTAGTGTGGGCTTACACTAGGGGTTTCCTCCCATTCACCCCAGGGGTTTACTCTCATTCGCAAAGAGAAGACCACGTCTTAATTTAGATAGGTAATATTACTTCCGCCCATTATTTTCGTGCCCTTTTGGAATTGCATCATGCAAGTTCGTTTACTCGATAGTTTGTACAATTTTGTACAATATATCAATATTGTTTGCAGACGGGTGAGCACACTAAGTCAAGTTTTGTTTTATTATCATTTATTTTTGTAAAAAAAATGTAAAAACAAATAAACTAAACTCCATCAAACTATTTCTGTTGTTAAGATTTACATCAAAGATAATTTGATGTATCAGCTGTTATCTTACAAATGTTTTTCAATATGCTGTTCGTTGACTTTTGCTTTTTTCCCATCGACTGGGAAAATGTGTGCTTTCCCATAGGCTTTTTTCTGAGTAAATTTTACTGGGAAAGTCAACATTTTTCCCCATCGACAGAGAAAATGTGTGCTTCCACATAGACTTTTTTCTGAGCAAATTTTACTGGGAAAGTCAACAAAAGGACCTATACAAAGTCCGAATTTGCTTTAGGCAAGTTTTCTTTGTGGGAGAGAGGTGTAGAGGAATGTAAATGGTAACATTGCTCGCATTTGCAATTCCTTTTGTTTTTTATATTTATACAAAAATATAAATAACAATGACAAATTGCGCTGATCAGAGTTGAAAATTACGGAAAAATTGTCCTGTATAAATGCGAGAGGTAAGTTCTAAAATTGCCAAAATTAATCCGCAATACATTTAGCGTACGAAGTTTTAACCCTTTCAGTGTTTTTGTCAAATATATTTGACATTTAAAAGTACTCTCTTTCTTTGCCATTTTTTTGTTTTTCTTACGAACCGTTATTTTTGATATTTTTAATAACAGACACGTTCGCTATTTAAAAATATTGCAGTTCTATTCTATTATGTGGCGTTTCCACTGCACTTGATTCGCTCTCTATTCGTTGTTTGACCCTTAACTATGAAAAAACTACTTAATTCTTCACACAAAATTTCCTGAGCGAACACTCATATTTTTACATTGTTCAAATCAAATCACTCTCAGAACAACGAAAAAATTTGTCCCATCCCTAACAAATGAGAGCATTTATCGAAAAAATAAATTATGACATTTAAAAATTGAAAATAGAAAAATTTAATGAAATTTTGATAATTTTTGGGAAGACTGAAAATTATGAATTAAAACTACAATGTTGAATAGCGTATGTACATTCAAACGAAAGTAAATTTTGTGTTCTCTCTCATCCGAGGTACGCATTTTGTCCACGAGTTGAAATTTCCACAGAAAACTGGAAACAAAAGAGGCAATATTTTCAAAATGTTTGTATCGGCAGAAAAAAATGTTTGACAAGTGTCTCTCCAGCAGAATTAAAAAACAGAAAAATACAAAAATATGTTAAAAATGTCAACATTTACACAAAAAGTTGAAAACATGAATGAAAATTATAAAATTAATGATATAATAAATCTTTGGGAGAAAAACAATAATTTCTTCTACTCATATTAGTGAGAATTTAATGTATTTTAGTATAAATTCCCATTAAAATCTACAAACAAAATTTTTGAAAAAATGAATTATTTTACTATGAATTACGAATCGTGCCGTGTGAACGGGTTAATTCGTGTACCTAATTCTGAGAGCGAACAACGTTGTTCGGTTTTCAATGGAAACATGCTATTAGTTTCGTTTTCGAATTTCTGAGCACATTTTAGTAAATTAGTACGGAATTTCAGATTTTTATCTCGACAAAAATTTTCATTGACACTGAAAGGGTTAAGGCTCAAAAATTTCTGCACTGACAAAACAATCTTCTTTTTTGTGTGTCGAAAATAGAAACGAATAATACAAAAAATGTAAATGTTTGTACTTGGAAAAAGTAACAATTAGTTAATTTTAAAAATATCAATTTTTACCACATATTTGTGTACGCTACTTGGAATGTTATGTAACGCTGTAATACCTAAATGTAATTATGTAATTGGCAAAAATGAAATTTTTATAACCGGGGGAAATATTTAATATCATCTGTTACCATGAAATATAATTAAAATATGAGTGTGCCAGTAAATCAAAGTCTAATTTATTAATTGATCGCAGTGCAATGAGTACTGTTTTACAGTAAAAACTTATGATAATTTAATTAAAATACAAATATAAACTTTGTTGACCGATTCAGTGCCTTCGCGAGGAAGAATAAGACGACTTCGAGCGAGGTCTAGTGGTTTCTCTGTGATTTCGCGAAGAATGGGAGGTTGAATAATACCGAGAGCTAGCTTTGCGTCGGTTTTTATAAGATTCGTCTTCATCGTCCGAGTCAGTATCGTAACGACGTCGACTATAAGAACTACGATTTTTTCCATAAGATGAATAATATGATTCGCTCCTTTGGTCACGGTGAATTCGTTTTTTGGAAGACGAACGTCCTGAGTGCGAACGACGGGAGTGGGAACGACTTGAGTCCTCCGAAGAATCTGTTATTGATGATTCTGAACTCGTGGCAGATGTTGAAGAACTTGACGATGATCGTGATCGTGATCGTGATCGGGACCGTGAAAGCGAGCGTGTACGTTTTTTATCGGAATAATATTTTTTCTTTGAATACTTGTCAATATGTTCGCTTTCATGGTCTGGATCTGTGTTACGCTTGTTTCTCCCTCCCCCTGTTACTGTCGATGTTGTGTTTTTCATATTGTTCGCAACAATACTTGGGTAGTTGTGTTTTGGCACTAACGTGTTAATATTGTATAGTGCTAAGCCTTGATTTGCTGCAACCTGGGAGGTTGTAATGTTGCATAAAGTCGGGGTTGATTGTGCTTCCGTAATACAGGTGGAAGTGGTTGCAATTGTTAAGTATTTGTTATCTCGGTTATCGCTAAATCGCGTCGTACGTTCTTTTATAGTTCCTCGATCCCTATGTCGTTTACCTAGGGAAAAAGTTTGAAGTAGGTATTAAAATTCTCCAGGCTCAATATATATCTGTAATTATTGTTATTCTTGTGATATACATTCATATCATATACGGTTGGAAAAACTCTGCTAATTTGCAAAGAATAAAATGTTTCAGAAAATTTAAATGTATGTATCTCGTATTAGTAACAGACGCACCGTTTATACTTTGTAACTTTGTTTCAGTTGCCTCACCAGATTCATCAATAATATTACCAACAATTTTACTGCTGCTACCTGGTTCGGGTTCATTTGTTACCATTTTCGAATTTTCCAAACAGACATTTGTTTCTACCCCAAATGTTTTGCGGGAAATCTCGTTCGCTTCGTCATTTTGCGTACATTGTTTCAACTTTTCAGCTTCTCTAAAGGCAGCAGCAGAGACACGTTCTTCAATTTCAGTTGCAATTTTTTGAAACGACCTTTTCTTCAAACGCAGAGATGCCTAAACAATAAAATTAACCATTAATACTAGTTTAAAAATTTGTCTTTCCTACTGTACCTTAATATCTTCTTCGGAATCATTACCACCCGAGGAAATGCCGTTCTTTAGAGTGGACACGTTATCATCGTCACTACTGTCATCACTGGAGCTATGACCATAAACTGCTAATCCTATAAGTTATTTTTTTATTTTAAGCTAATTATTGCTTTTTAAGTGGTTACATATAAAGCTTTTCTAAATCTATTGATCTTCCGGACAATTGTAATAAAAAAGCCGATTTGAAAACCCTTCTATTGTTTTCTATCTTTCGAAAAATATGTAATTACTGGGAATACATTATTGTGCTTCGATATTTCTATTTTCTAGTCGACCTTTATTATTTACTTAGTTTGTACGGAAACTGTATTTTAATTCTGATTAGTACCAATTGATTCACATCTTAAGTGCAGTTAGGTTAGCACTGTGTTTTAATAGCAATTTTAATATTTAATTTCATACAATTTTTTATATTTCCTATAGTCGATTTTATAAACACGAACTGATATATAAAAATATAAAGATACAACTTACCTAATTTGCCAGTTATATCAGACAAAGCGCTATTGTGGACCACTTGTGCCGATGATGCTTTTGGAGTTTTATAAAACGTATATATGTATGTAGTTTTAAATAATAAATTTTAAACAAATTGATAGTAAAGGATATTCGATAGTCGAACTTTTTGTTTCAATATGACTTACACAAAAATTTGTTTGCTGGGGGATTAAAAATATATATGAACACAATTTGAATCATATTAAATACCTTTCAATTTGTAGTTTTTCAGAGTTTCGTTTGCTAGCTTTGAAATTTCTTCATTCGTAACTTCTAATAAAAGCTCTGTCAATGTTTGACGTACAACAATCATCTATTAAATAGTAATTTAAGAGATTTTGTTTTTTAAATGAATAACATAAGTTTGTTATATTGACTAGTAAGAACCAAATTTTTATATAAGTCTAACTTACCATTTTCTCGAGTCTTTGTTCGTATCTTTCTGGACTTACTTCTGATTCATCAATGTCCTCCTTTAATAGATCTTCATTGAGGTCCTTTTCAATGACATCTGAGCTTGGTACTGTATCGTCTTGTTCATCATATTCGTTTCCCTAAAAATATTCGGCACATTTAACCTTTAGTTGGAAATTCTGCTAATTGTGAGAATAATTGATCTAATTTAAATTAAAAAAATAATTTTTTTTACCATTTCCTTGAGCTCATTTGTTTCACTTTCCTTGGATGATGTCGGTTTTGCAAAAGCTGTGCCTCCAGTAGGGAACTTTTCATTCTCTGTTATCTGATACTTGCCCTGTTGCTTCTGTTTCTCTCTCTCCATTTTCTCCAAACCTTCCCTATAATATTCCCTTACAATAAGTTATTTATTTCAGATTATAAACGTCAAGCTCTGATACCTTATCCACGCTGGCAGTCCTTTTCTTTTAGCCGCATCCATTATGTTGGAAGCGTTGTTCGAATCACTCGAAGGATCGGATAAACAGCGTATTTCATTCGGATGAGGAACATTCATTTTCAACAGCGAGGGGATGTGTACAGTTTGGTTAACTTGCCGTCTATTTTGAATATTTTGATGTGCCTGCTTCGAAGTATGCTGTTTATTCCATTTATCCCATTGGTTTTGCGATGCGGTTTCAGGATCTGTTCCAACTGCAAGTAAAGCAAAACATTTTTTTAGAAAAATATCTTAAAGATTCGTAATATGAAGCAAAGACTGGGTATAATATAACATCTTCGACAATTACCTGTATCTGTTCTATTGGTCTTATCCATGTACCATGGTGCGGTGGAACCCGTTTCTACGCTTTGTTGCATAATGGAATCACTAATATATTTCGGAGCTGAGGTTTTTTCTATTTGATCATCTTCATCCATATCCATATCAGCTTCGCCTTTTTCCTCTTCATATCTTGTTGTAGGTGTGGAAAATGCATTCGTTTCATTGCCCGAAATTAAAGCACTGTCTCGCATTTTTATCCATTGCTGTGCCAAACTAGCCCAATCAATATTTTGACCAGATGCCATGGCGCTTGTCACGGCAGCCTGGTTTATGAATTGATAAGGACCGTTCATAGCTTTCACACAACTGTTCTATAAAGCACAATTTTTACAATTTTTTCCCTTGGTATATTTTTGTTCAAATGCCTCTTGCATGTATAAGAAAAAATTTGACGTTGACATGACATTTGTTTACAAGCCGTTTTAGAGTTACCAACTAGTTGGGCGTTATGTCAATCGAACTGATGTTAACTACACTGCACGCAGCCAAAGCACAGTGGCAAGGTATGTATTAGTTCCCCTTTCTCTGGCAAGGTCATATTAGTCCCATTGCCTACATTCATGGTAATAGTAAGTGCGTCTGTTTACTCTGGGCTTAATATTTTTAAAAGGTTCATTTACATTTAGGTGGATGGTATTAGAAGTTTGGCCGGCAGAGCTTAAAGTTGTAGGTACGTTAGCAGCTTGGAATACAACAGTAATTCAAAATATCCATTAATGCGGGGTTAGAATATACGCAAATGTATTTAACAACAAATTTATTTTCGAATTTGGAAACAATGAAAGAGCCTCGCTTTTATGTAATAGGAGCATTTCAAACCATTGAATAAGAAGCAATGTCAAAGTTGTTTAATTTATTCGATTTTTGTTAGCCTCAAACTTGAACAACTTATTCAATATTAATTTTTCATAAACATTAGGGAATTAAATTTTAAATCCTTGAAATAGTCGTTATATCACCCTGTGAGTTGGTAAGTAGGTACCTCCGGATATTCGGTATTTAGTATTTTTAGTTTGTAATGCGATCTACCTTGGATGACAGAACATGGATAATTTTTCTTGATGATAGGAAAATACCAAAAAAAAAAAAAAAACAAAAAAAAAAAAAACACAATTCAGAAATATACATGAAATCTCCATTTTTGTATCTCAAAAGATCCATCCACTTAATCTAATTTCGTCATGCTCTTTCCAACATTTCGGCCGGTATCTCACGAATAAGTGGTTTAATGTTATTTTTTTCATTGCGTCAATAGAGGCGGACTCGTTTTTATAGACATGAGCTTTACCATAGTCCCTCATAAAATAGTCTGAAGGCGTTAAATAGCACGATCTAGGTGGCAACATTTATAATAAATTACAGCTGGTTCTGTGATAAATAAAGCTTCCTCATCAGCGCGCGATGAACCTTCTTAAGAGAACAATAATTTTGATAAGAAAATTCAATGATTTAAAAGCGTTGTTTGTTCGTAAGATAATTCATGGTTGAATTATAGATCAAACCGAATATATTTGACTGTGAAACAAAACACGAAACATACGTGAGCTGTTTAAATCAGGATTGTCAAAAAGATAATAGCTACAAAATCACCCCTTCTCTTAAGTTTTCAGAGACTGATAACTTCCATGAAATACTTTGTAGTTATCTCGGAATCTGTATTTATAAATATATTAAACATAAACATTTATATCTGTAACTTAGTAATTTATAATATCACATTTTACTTAGACTAGTTATTGCATTATTTGGTCTTTAAACGCCAAAAATCTTTGATCATGTCTGACGCCTTTTCGGCAATCATTATAACAATCGCATTGGTGTGACCAGCAGGAATAGTCGGCATTATCGAAGCATCTACTACTCGCAGATTACTTAAGCCATGTACTCTCAGCTCTTGGTCCACTACAGCTTCTGGGTCGTCAACTGGCCCCATTTTGCATGTGCCTGATTGGTGCTGTAGACTGGATCCATAAAGTCGTAGACAACATTTCCAATAATCTTTGCTGGCAAATGTGTGCTTTTCGCAACCCGGAAACTTTTTTGTATTGAACTGTGTACCAATGCGACTCATCGATTTGGTTTGGGCTATTTGTATTATCTAGCATGGAGTATATAGATTATAAACTTCAATGTGTGATCATATATAATACTCTTACCATTTCTATGCCCTCAATCATGGCCCTTATGTCATCTGGGTCCTGCATAAAGTTCGGCTCCATTTTGGGCCATTGAAATGGATTAGTGCTTCGTAGAGAAATGCGACCCCTGCTCTTAGGCCTTAGGAGAACTGGCACCATCCCGAATGTTTCCTGGAGCATAGATTATCATATATATTGAATATATACGATGTACAATGTTCTTCTTACCTTGTGCCGAAAATCCTCAAAGACGTCTTGATAAAAGGTGTTGGTTATTCCGATCAAATTTCTCATCGTGCCCATGTAGTCGCCAACCAATGAACCAGCGCCAAGAACGATCTCCATGTCTGAATAATCGGCTTCGAATTTAGAGCTAGGCGTTCTTAGAAATGCCAAAGCTTCCGCGCCACCGGGAATTGTGTATGGGCCTTGTCCATGTAGAATGTATTGGAAAATGTCTTTTGTGTTCAAAACTTTTTGGTCATTTATTGTGCTGTCATTAACAGAAAATACTAGTCCATTCAGAGTAATGTGGTCCTGAAGATTGAAGCCGACGTTGAGATCCTTTACAACTGAAATATTCAGTCGTTGTAGATTTTCCTTAGGACCTATGCCGGACAACATAAGCAGCTGGGGAGACGCAATAGCACCGGCAGACAATATAACCTCTTTCTTGGCCCGAACTGTATATCTTTTTCGATTTTTTACGAATTCTACGCCAACAGCCTTTGGCTTCGAATGTACATTTTTGGAATAATTTATTAGTATTTTGGTTACCCAGGATTTCATGGATATTGACAAATTTCTTCGGTTCACTATTGGCTTTATAAATGCCTTACTTGTGCTACAGCGTCGTCCGTTTTGAATATTTGCCTGCGCTCTTCCAAACCCCAACAGACTTTCTCCATTTGGATCGGTAATATTGTAACCCATTTCGTAACTAGACTTAAGAAACGCCTTTAATAATTTTGATTTTGCTGTATTAGAATAGGCCACATTTAATGGTCCACTAGTACCGTGAAACTTGGAGTCTCTCAAATGGTCAATATCTATATGCTCCGACTTCTTAAAATATGGCAATACATCGCTATAACTCCATCCGTTATTGCCCAAGGACGACCAGTGATCGTAATCCTTATGATGACCTCGAGAGTATAGCATAAAGTTAATTAGGCTGGTGCCGCCCACACCTCTGCCTTTGGGCCAGTTGCAAACTCCGCCCTCTAGTCCTTGACATGCATTGGGCGTAGGGTCACTTTTGTAGCCCCAATTGTATCGTGTCATTTGTGTTAATGCAGCCGTCAGGGGCACATCGCTTAAAAATGTTTCCTGGTCGCCTGCTTCCAAAAGCAGAATTGTGGCGTTACGGATCTCAGAGAGTCGATTAGCCACAACACAGCCACCAGAGCCGGCGCCAACTATAACAAAATCATATTCATCTAAAAACTCGTTTGCATCCGGCAACTTAGTGTTTAACAAAGATGTTTCAAAATCTCGCACCAAGTCTACAATGTTTTGGCAGCTACAGCAAGATAGAAGTGTCCCTACTACAAAAACCAGTTGTGCAACAGCCTGAAAGGAAAAAACAAAATAATTGTTGAATGTTTTTTATTCTGATCGTCTTCTCTTCCCATTCTCCACTGATTGATTAACAAGAACATTCTAAAATGCACATCACGTTCTCCCCATTCAAATGTGTTTACATATGTATGTTCGTATGTACTAATATATTGCATGTACTATCAACATCCCACTCAGTGTCGTACCGAAAGAGCTAATATAACTAAACATGTCTTCCGGATAAGATGTGCAGCAATGTTGTATTATTTAATCTAACAATTCGATTGCAACGCAGAACGAGTCGAGTTCATTAAAATATAAAATTGAAATAAAATCGACACAAAATAATCGACAAAACTTCCAGAATAGGCCTATTTGAAGAAATATTTTCAAAAGATCTCGATATATAAAACATAACAAAAGTTAAGGGAAAATACATATCCATGGAATACATGATCTGTTCGTAATATCGCTTATGTTACCACCTGCAAAAAGGGATTGAAAACTTTTCTTCATGTAGTAATATAATAGGTGCCGTCGCGAACACATAATGTATGATAAATGAGACTTTAAACCTAACTACTCTGAAATGTACATAAAAAAAGTTAGAAAAGTTAGAATGCGTTCTCGAAACAGATTTTTTTTGGAGATGTGACGCACTTTGAACAATTGAGTGATGTATTCAAGAAAGTTACAATAAATACAAGTAGTATAAGTTTGATAAAATTGTGAAAAACGAAACCCAAAGTTAGAATTGACTTAAATACATACGCAATAGGTTGTATTGTTTTTTTTCCCAAAAACCAAAATCATGTTTTATCTATTGACCGCAATGAGATTGAAGTTTGCATATGTGTGCATTTTGTCAGTAGCCACTTAGAGTTGTAAATGGGCAATGTCGACTCGCATTTTGGATATAGCCCCATATAAAGGGGGCTAACCGATCTCATTTCAATAACGGTTTTTTACCTCATGTTGGGAGGTATTATATGTTCGGCCCGACCTATTTGAAGTTCGTAATGGATACTTCAACCTATGACAGAAAATTGCATTTGCAGGTTCAGGTCTTCGTATATCCCCCCATTTAATGGTACCTCCCTTTTTTCGGTATTTCGGTGATATAAGCGACATTTTTTAACGGAACTGTTTTAGTATTTTCGTATTTGAAGACCAGAACTTGCATATGGAATTTTCTGTCTTAGGTTGAAGTATCCGTTACGAACATCAAAAAGGAGATCATCAAAATAAGGAATATTAAAAGGTACGGTTATATGGGGGCTATACGAAAATGTGGACCGATATGATCCATCAAGAATATATATATTTGGTTGGGTCTGACATGAGTATTTTGAGCAGTTACAAACGGAATGACAAAGTTAATATACCCTCCATATAAATGTAAATCGTCATCCGTGATAGAATAATACAGGTAACAGCAAGTGTTTTTGAACAATAAACCTAACAACAACCACATACAAGTTTGTTGTTTTCATTTCGTAATACAAGTATAATTTGATTGGATACAACAATTTGCCCCAAATTTTGTGCTTCAAATAAGTTCGCCCTGATTACAACTTTGACATATCAAGTTTCCAAGAAAGTTGCTTTGTTTGTTGTAATTTTCGCTTATGTTCCTACCTGATATTTCTACCATGATCAGAGCATGGTAGAAGAAAATAGGTAGACGCATCGACACAGCTGCTGGTACAATGAACTGTCAAACCAATTTTGGGATTGAAAATGTTGAATGAAAAGTTATTTAAATTTGTAAAAATTGTTGAAAATACTAACTTCCGAATTACGTCGTATAAGCAAACAAATTAAAATCTACCTATATTTGAAAAGACATTTAAAAATTTATGACATATCAATGTTCCCAAGCGTTGATGCATCTACCTATATTTTTCTACCATGGATCAGAGTTATATGTCCAAAAGTGTTTACACTCAATTAATTCTAATTTTTTTAATTTCAAAATTTTAATTTTTGGTATTCGGTTTATTAAATTCACAATGCAGACGAATACTTCTTAAAATATTTAATTTTAATGCTTTCATTTTGCAATTTTAGGAATGACATTCAAATTAGGTTTTCAGGCGATATTAGTATAATTCTCTACCAATAATTTCCATATGCTTGTTATACCATTGATATATGATATATTCTGGAAACTTCATTCATATTTGTTGAAAAGAAATCTGACACTTATATTGCTTTCAACAAAAGTTGAGCACTTGTACTCACCATACACTGGTTATATAAGAGAAATTGTCTTAAATCAGAGCTTAATTTGACTGAAGTCTATACATACCTCGAGATATTCAGTATTTGATGGTTTTAGCCACTCATTTCATTGTTTTTAAACATTAACTGCATTCTCTTTCGATGTCACTGGTATAAAAAGTTCACAGCGGAACATCTAGATACTTTTATATAAAATTGTTTTCTTAGGCAATGGAACTTAATTTTTATACTTGTTTTACCTTTAAAATAGTACAGGACTTGTTTTACCATTAAAATAGTATAGGAACACAATAATGATCTGTTCATTTATGATTTTATAATAGTTGCTGTAGTTGGCGGATCGCCTACGTCACACATTTGTCAATTAATACATGAACTCTATTGCCCTCTAATGATCATAATTTCATTTCCAAATCGTGTTTTATGTATCTGCACAGATTTATTTCATCACTGAATACATTTAATGTTCGTATAATTGGAAAAATATATGCACAAACATAACATAACTTGACATGACATGATAAGCCATACAATTGAATGTATTGATTGTGCTCATTAGGTGTGTACCAAGATGCATTTACAAGGTGATACGGTAAGGCCAACTGTTGTCAGCTTTTGGTGTCAAACACACAAAAAATATAGATGTTAAAAAATATTTATTTTTTGACCCAACACCGTCGAAATGTAAAAGTTGTGAAATATTTTTTGTGCTTTCTTCCTTGGATGGAAACACCAAGACTAATGCTAAACACAAGACTAAGGTCTAAATTTACCTCACGTGTGGAACTATAATTTTCCCTCTTTCACGCACACACATTGCAAAATGCAGTCAAAGAAAATCGCTTCACTTTTTTCTAGTATTTATTTGATGGTATAAGGCAATGTTGAGTGTTTATGAAAAATGTATACAAAAATTGTTTAAATATTTGCGCTTTTAAACATTTTCATATCGACCACAAAACAGAAGATTTCCAGTCAGCTGATGATAAGGGTTATCTCTCAATTAGAATGATTTTCCGTTTAAATTTGCAATATCTCTGCGACTCAACTATCAGAAATTCTTGTTGTATTTACTTTCACTCACTGATCTTTAGGGTTGTTTTGTAATAATTTGTACAAGTTATAGGGTTATCAGACGCATCTATTTTACAATGCCTTCGGGAACAGTTTCACTAATTCGCTTACTGTATTCTTATGGCGTTCTTACCTGTTTCGTTCTGATCATTTTGCCGCGTTTATTTTCGAAATCGTTTATTATATTTTTTTTTCTTTTTGGCAATTAAACGTATTTTGCTTTAATCTCACAGAGCTGCTGGACGCATGCGTGCGTCTGCCTAGACACCCGTTCGACTATTAACTGTTGTGAGAACTGTGCTCCAAGAAGAAGGCGATGTCGACAACACGGTGATTGACATAAAGAGATGCTTGCTCGTATTTCGAGTCTTTTATGTACATACACACGTATTCACATAGCCCTTACATATTTATCTGGTGTTGTTGTTATCGATCGATTGGGGTTCGGTGACGTTTGCCGAAATATGGGCCAAATTCCACAAAAATTCAAGTTCAAGCTGCAAGAAGTGTTAAACCAGATTAAACAACTAACTGGCGAAGATTGCGAAAATATTTGTCTTCTTTGTTTTGCGCATATTTTTATATTGTTTTGGGAAAAAATTAGCGTATCAAAGAAATGATGAGTGGGTTGAACAAAGGGTATCCCATAACGGCATTTATGTTTGTTTTAATAAATATACCTCAGCGTGTGGTGAATTAAGGTACGATGAGTTTTTGAAAGTATGGAGTTTGCTGTTAGAATTACTATAAATACATGTAAAATTAGTTGTTTATTTAAAATAAGGAACAAAAAATACAAAACAATTTGACGTGACAAATCATAAAATAAAAAAAATAGATTGGTATCTATGACCCATGTTTCAATTAATACCAGTAGAATACGCTATATGTCAAAATTGTCATAATAAGACAGATTAAAGTGAGGACTGATTAAAAGGTTGATATTCTCTTTTGAAAACATGTTACATACACCTTTAAAATGTATTTAGTCACAATATTGGTAAATTTTATTCATACATAAGTTGTTGTTATAAGCATTTGACATCCCAACATACCAACATTACTTGAGAATAATATTATAATGAGCTTAAGAGCAGAAGCCGTAAACTTGAACAAATCTTAAGAAAATAATGAAAAATGCCCGAATAATCAAAATTGAAACCTTACACTTGTTATTGTAGTATAACCTTAAGAAAGTAATATCTAGTCTTCTCCCCATTCCTTATTTATTTTAATATTACACGTCCACTGAATTCCTGTATCTTTTTGATGTCTCCAGCCTGAAATGAGTTTGATAATAATATGCAATAAGACATCGTTACCTTAAGAACGCGGACCGGAAATTATGCCTTGCTACGTTGAATCCATATAATAAGATAAAACCCAAAAAAATCACAACTTTTACAGTAGAATGTTATACACGTATATTTTAAACAAAAAACTAGTGTCAAGTTTACTTTAACCTATGATAGAGTTTTACCATTTTCGTCGGATGTAAATATTGCACTGAATTGTTTTGATTATTGCACGATTTCTCTTTTTTGTATAAAGGGTCTATTAACAAAATAAGGGATGCCAGCTGCTTGTTTCAAATGCTTTATCTATCTCAAACATAACACCGGCACTTTCGATTCACTACCCATGCTATAGCTCTTTTCCAAAACTTGCAAGATTCTACAAGTTGTGCAATTTTTTCGATATCATAAGGGAAAAGTCGGTTATCGTATTAAGACGTTTTACATTCTTGAAGTTCGGGGATAGAACATATATGCAAATCTAAGTAGAATTAAATAAACACAAATGGTCTGTTGCAGAACCTGCAAGAATCTACTAATTTGGAAATTTGTTTCTATATCATAAAGGGAAAATCGTTTACCACAGTAAAAACGTTTGCATTCTTGCAATTCCGGACCCGAGTAAAAGTGTTCTAACATATGAATTTGGTACCAATGGGCATGACAGGGCTACATTGCTTTTATTTAAAAGAATATATGTTTACAGTAAAAGCAGAGAGCTTAATGTTCTTAATGTGTCACTTTGGTATTTGACATAACAATGAAAGTTGCAATGATGTTACTTTTTTTGTAATGCGGCCATACGCAACATTAATTTTCCTTTCATTTCAATGTTTTACACCACAACAATTGAGCCCTTAGGACGGCAAAATCTACTAATTTTGATTTCTCTACACATGCAATATGCAACAAGTAGTTTCTATAATCGAATTTATTTATCTAAATGCAAAAAGGATCCATACTATTGCATAGTTCAGTTCTATTGCTATCTGATAAATATTTAAAAAAAATTGATTTCGATCAGCAAATTATAGCAATAAGTTTTCTTATTGTTCCTGTACTGCTGCACACAGAAGCATTTTTAGCCATACTACTGGGTAGGAAAATGTCTATGGAATAATCGCTACCGAATTCCGCTCCGCTAAACAACTTTGCACCAAAAAAATTCCATAGAATTAGTAAGTTGGTGTGAATTTTATTATGCTTCCGGATTAATTAAATAAAATGGGGAGTATGACACACACAAAGCAAACATATGTATATGCAGTCATTTTAAACAGTTTCATTATTGCCAATGAGATGGGTAATGACCCTTCGTTCGTATCGAATTCAAGGTCAACGATATATGTAACATGGAATGAACTACATACATGCTCTGGTACAACTTTCCGCATTACGAATACATACCCGTACCTTTGTACCAACGTACAGATGAACGAACATATTAATTGGCACTCGATACGAATGACCTGAGTGACTACCAAAACGATGTGTGTTATAAATAAATCTACGGTGCGCATCATTAGCTCGGTCTTATTTCCCGCAGCTGAAACGTTTGTAATTAATAATCGTCGTAATGCCTAATAATGGTCTACAGCCATTTGATTGTTAATAACAATCACTGTTTTTAGGCCACGCTGTTTTTTACATTGATTATCATCAACTTTGCTACTGGAATTATAATGTTTTGATTCTGATAACATTTTAGGTCATCAAATTGTTACAAGCTCTACACTATTGTACCTATTCGATTCAAAAGTTGCCATTGGGTATGATAAAGGGTGGTACAACCACACCGCACGATGCTAATTGTAGCAAGTGCCATGGGAAGAAAGCTGTCATCGAACAATAGAATTGGGTTAAAACATTAATTGGACAGCCGATTGAACACAAGTTAAGAATTATTTACATTTTTGCGTCATGGCAAGCGATAGAAATATGACATTTGGCAGGCGTTAGTCAAATATTTACATTTTTGGAATTATTGGGGAGCGATAAGACGTTTGCAACTGATATGGAGCACAGGAGTTTGTACAAAAAACATTATTGCACACGGTACGTCCCGGTTAGACGGCATTGCTTCAAGATTGGTGCTTGGAGTTCAAATGGACACTATTTTCTCTAGAAAAAATTGTCTATGTCTATGCACGTAAGCACTATCCGCGGAGAAGAGCGGACAATGCTTGATCGCAGCTGCAATGGGTCCAGATCATATGAAGGGCTCACTGCTATACCGAACCAAGTCATGAAAAATAAAAAATGCCGAAACTAGTGCCAATGTCCCCGCATATGGCAAATCTGTTTACTCTGTAAAGCACAGTGTCAAAAAGTGTTTTGTTCCAAAGATAACGTTAAAAAACCTAAGTCAACGACTGTCATTTTCGTTTTTATTCAAAGCAAAAATGAACCAAGTCAGTGTGTTTCACTTTTAATCAGTGTATATATGGATATCAGCAACGATTCAATGTCGATTTAGTGATGTCCAATCAACTGTCTGTCCATCTGTAGAAATCACTCTAGTTTCCGAGCCGTTTGAAGTAGGTTAATAAAATTTTACTCAGATGCGTGTTTGGTCTACAGGCTTTTTTGGGATTGGAAATGATCGGTATTTTGATGACTTTAACGACATTATTCACCAAAATTTTTTCATATTTCGTAGTCGGTATTATGATGTTTTTGCGATATTATTTAGCGGACTTTTTATGTTTCCTATATAAATATTGTAATTGGCTGTGCAGGTTCACGTTTTCGTATATACTCCCATATTACGGTAACTCCCTATATTCGGTAATTTTATGATTTTTAAAAGTATTTTTTAATAGCCAAATTCTTTCCAAATTGTAGAGGGTATTCAAAGACCGCACTTACTGCTTTTTTATTTGAGATACTTCCCTAATACACATAATATCTTAGTATGGACACAATTACAAGAAAATCGTACATTTATGTCCAATTTTATGCGAAACCATAAATTCCATATTCATCTCATGTTTCTGGTTGAGAAAAATATTTAGATATAGCAAGTTGTAAAGAATCACCGACTTGTTTCGCAAGTTATGACAGATAAAGGTATTGAAAACTTGACCCCTTGTGGGTCATGTACCGGAAGGGGTTCGCAGATATATACCATCTTCACAACAAATATTGTGTTAGCGAAAATGTTTGTATGTGTGAAATCTAAAGAGAGTTGGATGATTATTTCGCTTTCTTTCAGTTTTGTTTTTCAAAATCTTGAACTCTGTGTGGGGAGGTACCAGAAGAAATGATCCGATCTCTACCATCTTTATAACAGATCTTGTATTGATGAAAATTTTGAGATGTACCAAATCTGAATGAAATCGAATAATTTCGCGTCATATGAGCTTCAAGGATATTCAAAATGTTGACATTTTGTGGGGATGGTACCAGAGGTAGTGGATCGATATATTCCATATTCACAGCAGACCGTGGGTTAATAAATATATTGTGATCTGTGTAATTTGAAGACAATCGGAAATTTTCATCACATTTTATAAAAGTTATGATTATTCAAAATGTTTACCCTTTTGTGGGGGAGGTACTTGATGGAATGGACCAATATTACCCATTTTCGCAACTGACCTATCACTGATCCAAATATTAGCATGTGCTAAGTTGGAGCACAATCGCGTTGTCCATTTTTTTCTGTGCAGTAAATATTTTCTTTGAAAAGGCAAATGAACCCGGCAAAGTGCGTAAGCTTCGCTGCAACAGTGGAAAAGCATACACAAATCAGAAGGGTCTTACGACTTCCGCAAAACGAAATTCAATTTACATTTTAAGTCTCCGAATAAGGATGCCTTTCGAATAGGTGATGAACTTGACATGAAAATAAAATTCGATGAAGACGAAAATACAAATTTAATTTGGCAAAATGAACTTCACTTAAAAGCAGCACAGCTAGCTCAAAACTCACTGAATACAGAAGTACCATCTGATGAGCACTATTTTTGTACTTTCGACATTCAAAAAGCATTACC